AAAAATAGCTAATTGACTTCACTGATTTAGTAAATTTTTATTTTTTATATAAACTTAGTAATATCTTGTTTCTCATGTAAGTACAAAGGACATAGGTCATTCAATGGCTTACATCTTCTAGCTTATCATATTAAATTCATTTTACTGTAGGTGTTTTATTGGATTCTTTTAAGTGCTATTAGTACTTGAAGGGATATCTATAGGTTAGAATACTTTTTATTTAATTACAATTTTAAAAGATGTTTAGGTTAGAATTTTTTTTTTTATTTAACTACAATTTTAAATACAACTTTAAAATATTTCCACTGTTAATTTTAATAGACTATGTTTCTTTTTTAAAAGAAGTAAATGTATTAGAATTACTTACAGTAAGTAAAATTATTTTTACATATCAAGTATGAGTATGTATATTACTATTGTTAAAAATTTTATATTTAAATATTATTTAAGTAAAATTTATGACAATTACGGTAAAAATAGCTAATTCATTTCTCTGATTTAGTAAACATTTTTTTTATACTTAGTAATATATAGTTTCACATGTCTGTACAAAGGACATGGAACATTCAATGGCCTACATCTTAAAGCTTTGCATCATAATTTCATTTTTCTGTAGGTGTTTTAATGGATTCCTTTAAGTGCCGGTAGTACTTTGAGAGAGGTATTTTGGTTAGAATACGTTTTATTTAACTACAGTTTTAAAAGATGTTTAGGTTAGAATTCGTTTTAACTAAAATTTTAAATACTACTTTAAAGTATTTTCACTGTCATTTTAATAGACTTTTTTGGTAAATGTAATTGAATTACTTACAGTATATAAAATTATATTTTTTCATTAAATATAAGTACCTATATTACGAGGTAACACATTTTTTTAAAATTTATTTTTAAATATTATTTAAGGAACATCTTTGACAATGACGGCATAAAATAGCTATTTCATTTCTCTGATTCAGTAAATTTTTGTTTTTTATAAACTTAGTAATATGCAGTTTCTCATGTATGCACAAAGGACATGGGTCATTTAATATATATATATATTAATATATATTTTATATAGAGAGAGAGACAGGGAGAGAGACAGACAGACAGACAGACAGCGACACACAGAGAGAGACAGAGAGAGAGAGAGAATGTGTATGGGGTGACGCTAGCATTGTCTCCTAATGCCGATGATATAAAGAAGCTTTCTCCTTAATTAAACTGTTCTACTGTGATTCGACCCCGAGTTTCATGATGAAAACGCTGACGTTTTAAACAGCCAATGCCTGAAAATGATGCCACGATTCAATCTAAGCTTTACGATGCAAAAACTATGAAGGAAACAGCTCAGAAGCTGTCAATGGTTGTGCTCACACAGGAGTAAAAAGTCATCGTGATAGAGGTTTTCAGTGATACTAACTTTGTACAACTACTGAGCGCACCTGAACCTCTAAGCAAAATCCGTTCAGAATATTTGCAGTATAAACAATAGTTTAACTATGGGTGTTGACGAAACACGAATGTTTCTGAGCAGGCTTCTTCAACAGGGATTACCTTGTGATCCTTGTAAACACCATAGTATCCAGAGTCTGATGAGTTTATATAATATACTGTATATTCAAATTGTAGAGTGGACTGTTTTGACATTGTCCGCAAAAAATGGTCTTAGAGAAGGAAAAATTTTAATTAAAAATTAGGGATGTAATCCAACTCTCTCAATCTATATATATATATATATATATATATATATATACGTAATCGCTACCCTCGGAGATCCATCGAGGTTTTTCATTAGAAATCCTACCGGGATTCAGCATCGGCGATTACAATCTTAACAACATAAGATACGCAGATGACACAGTGCTGATAGTAGACACGGAAAAGAAATTACAAAATCTCCTACGGATGGTAGTGAAGAAGAGTGAGAAGATGGGACTAAGCATAAACTACAAGAAGACAGAATGCATTGTCATCAATAAAAGGGTGGGACCGACATGCGATTTTCAGGTTGGTGACATTAAATTTAAGCAGGTTCGGATGTTTAAATATCTGGGCAGTGTTTTGACAGAGGACGACAAGTGCGACACTGAGATCCGTAGACGGATTGGGAGGGCCAAGGACGCATTCCAATAGCTGGGCAGAGTATTGCGAGACGGGAGGTTTTCTTTGGTAACAAAGAAATGTGTACTAAGCTGTTACGTGACATCTGTCTGTCTTTATGCCAGGGAATGTTGGACGAGGCGACGGAGATGTAGTTCAACAGAAGGAAGCTGAGGATATCATGGACCTAGAATGTGAGCAACGACGAGGTTTTGGAAAGGATACAAACAAGGAGGAGGCTTATACTTAACATCAGGAAGAGGCAGCTGAAGTTTCTAGGACACGCCTGGAAAACCTGATACTCACAAATCGAATAGAGGGAAAGAGAGAAAAAGAAAGCAACGCATAACATACTAGGCGTGCTTGAGTAAGTGGATGACAGAACGGGGCATGGGGGAGGTGAAAGAGGGACGAAACAGATTGAGAGCTACAAGAGATAAGGATAAGTGGAGAGCAATGACCGCCTACGTTCTGAAATGGCTCAGTACATAACAAGAAAGAATTCAACTCTCTTCATTGCTTTGATTTACAGAAGAATAAAAAAAAAATAACAAAATAACTGGGGTTGGCTTATAAACCCACTCCGTAAAAACTTCTTGACAAAATACACCTGGTTCACAAGCTGAAGCACCAATCGAACCACATCATTCGCAGGAGATGGGATTTGCCCAATATACCGTGACGGCACCCACCCCTCTTAAGGCTGGTCTTGAATTTATCCTGTCTTCTTGTTTGGTTTCCCTACCAAAGCTAAGGGATTCACTCCCGCCTGTTAATTTGCCTACAGCGGAGATTAACAGATTAATAACCTTCCCAAAGATAATATGCAAAATGAAACCTCGCCCCAATCTGAATATACACACACACACTATATATATATATATATATATATATATATATATTTTATAAATCAAATTCCCAAAGGAATAGAGTTCAGCTTATCTAAAAATTCCTCCACTAAAATAAGTTTCGAAGATAAAAAGAAAGATAATGAAAGAACTTTAAAGGAAGGGAGGCATAAAACGAAACTGGAATTTAAACCTCGAATAAAAGAACAAATGAAGAAAAATTCGAGGAAAAGAAAAATATTATTTGGTTTAAGATCACGTGTAAAATAGGGAAAATATTTTATAAATTACTTAATGAACACTTTTATCAAAATTCCGAATTACATTTAATATTTAATAAAAACACCATTAAATTAAGCTACAGCTGTGCTCGTCATTTAGAAACCACAATTTTAAAAGGACAAAACGCCAGAAATTTCAAAAGTAACGTGCAGCAAAATATTTCTAACAGTGAAATATGCAAATGTAGAAATATAAATAGATGTCCATTAGATAAGGTTTGCAAAACTGAAGCAGTAATTTACGAATCAGAAGTAATAGATATAAATGGCCAGAAAAAATATACATAGGGTGTACTGAAAGTAATTTTAAAAAGAGGCGGTACAATCATAAGTTAAATGTTTAAGCAAGAAAGACTTAGAAATTCTACTAAGCCAACTATGTGTGGAAATTAAAGGAAAATATTTTTAAAAATCCGATTATAAACTGGAAGATTTAAAAAAGCAGAACCTATCAACAATCATAGCAGCATCAGCAACCTTCGTCAACAAGAAAAATTAACTATAATAACATTTCCATTTCAAAAAAGCCCTTGGAATCAGAGATCGGAAATTATGACCCGTTTTATACATAATAAAATTTCCTTTTGAGTTCATATGAAGTGGGATGAAAAGAAAGTATGTATATTTCATTTAATCCCCCCACCGATACATTTCCAATATTCTTGATTTTACCCTCCTCCTCTTCACCACATATATTTTTATTTTTTTTTAAAATAAAACGTTAGGAAATCAATTGACCGAAATCGCCTGAAGATACCGAAAGTTTGAAACGAAGGTAGTGGAATCAGCTTAAACCTTAAAAAATGAATGAATCAATCAATATATATGTCTATGTGTGTGCGTGTGTGCATGCGCGATTGTGTATTTCTGTCAGCATTATAGGATCATTATAGGAGCATTATTACTTGATATTTTTGATGGAATGAAACATTTGCATTTTTCTGTTTCAAAGAACAAAGATTGTTTAAAAGAACCCGGATTTGTTAAGTGACCAGCCATTTTTATTTATATTTTTAAGACATCAGGATTCCTTTATTGAACCATACAGTTTATTTTATTTTTAATGAGTCAGGAATGTTTATTTTTATTTATCAGAAACCAAAATTTTTTAAGTTAGCAGGTATTTTTAATTTTAAGAACCAAGCATTTTATAAGGCATTTTTGTTCATTTTTACGTGCCGTGTCCCTTCAGGACGTTGGCGATCATGGCTCGTCTCAATATCCTGTTCTTTGTAGCTCTTAATAAATATGATCTTTTTATTATCTCTTCAAAAACTTATTGCGTTATCTATTTAATCAAGTTCACTAAATAGGTTATACATTCTTTTACTTAGACCTTTTGCTTTTTATCTATCCTGTGAGTATCAAATTTTCCAAGCCTTCTTTCTTCATTATGTGCCCTCGAAATTTTAACTCACTTCCTGATGCTTTTTTTCCATTTTTTTCTATTTTTTCCTATTTTTAAAGCACAAGAAGTTTTAAGAAACATGGTATTATTTTTTTCTTCTTTCTAAGGAAACAAGGACTTTTTAAACGGACCAACATTTTATTTTTAATGAAGAAGAAGCTTTTGAGGAACCAAGCATTTATATTTTTCTTTTTAAGAACACAGAATTTTTTCTCAAGGAATTTGTTTGTTTTTTTTCTTTTTATCGTGGGGGGATTTTTGGGTTTTTTTTTTTTTTTCAATGAATCTGGAATTTGTTTTTAAGGAACTAACATAGTTTTTTCTTTTTAAGGAATCAGGTATTTTTTTTTTTAAAACGGTCAAGTGTTTCCTTCATTTCAGGTGTAGGTGAAAGTATCACTTTCCTTGAATTAAACGGGAAGCAGCCGTCAGGAAATGAACTCGCCAAATCATGGTACGCTGAAATTGAACAGTATGATTTTGATAATCCACGTTGGAGAAAAGGTATATTTCATTTACTTATTTTTTTCTTGCCCAAATTTTAGCTGGCCATAATTTTGGCCTGTTGATTGCTGTCGTCGTCTTTATAAACTCGTTGGTTGGAGACACTGCCCTTAACTCGGAAGTATTAGCATTTTTTATTAACTCAAACAGTATTTACATTATTTAGACTATTGTCCTCATCTTTGTCACCATATTTATTACAACGTTTCGGCCGTTGTACGCTCCGGCCTTCTTCATGTGGTTGGAATGTCGAACTGAACACTTTATTTTGCTCACTGTTCTAGTTCCACGTGCCATGTTTAATGGATGTCAGTTATCAGTTTTCTCCTATTAATTCCCCTCTCCAAGTTCTCCACTGCCTTTACCGGGTATTGAACTCACAATCTTTGCGTCTTGTCATTGGATCTAACCAACGCCTTGATCCACTCTGCCATATGTCCTTGAAGAGTATGGATATATAACACAATGGTATATTATTTTGAATTTCTGCAGTTTTTAATAATAAATATTTTTTTTATTTATATTGTATGCTTTTCTATTCGGTCAAGTAAGCTCATCATGAATGTTATACTCACAATATTTCAGCATTTTTTTTTTATCCAGGAGCCTTTTTCAGGTGTCTATCTACCCACAAGCTAACCGTATTGGAATTTTGAACCGAACCCATCCTACCTTCACGAATTTGAATCATCCTCATTTCCCCCATATACCAAATATAAAGAGAAAATCTGGGTGACGAATCATTTCTTCACCCTGCAAACTCTCTCCAACAGACAGGATACGGCAGGCCTCACGCTGCCTTATCCCTACTTCCACGCAAAGTGCTCGGACCAACTACCTTCCCTGGTAACGCCAGTTAAAGCCTCCATGTCACTTTCTCTCCTTCTCATATATATATATATATATATATATATATATATATATATATATATATATATATATAACACATATATGTATATATAAATATATATATAAATATATATATATATATATATATCTATATATATATATATATATATATATATATAAACATATATATATATAAACATATATATAAACACACATATATATATATATATAAAAAATATATATATAAATATATATATATAAACATATATATATATATATATATGTATGTATGTATGCATGTATGTATGCATGTGTGTGTGCACGTTAAAGATCAAATATAGATGCAGATCAAATATGGATCGAAAACTAATAGGAAACCTATATCGATTTAACATGTTTCATTTTTAAAGCTTCGGCAGAGATTGGAAGAAAACAGACAAAAAGTTAAAAAATTGGTATTTTCATTTTTGTTTTGGTTTGATCAGTTACATATCACGTGTATTAAAACCATAGATAATTCTATATCTATGTAAGTTTGTAACGATTCATGTGTATCTCAGCGGACATCGAATGGTAATGTAAATTCGTGATTATGCATATGTGTATGCCTAGTAGGATTTCCAATGTATTCACCTTTGTGTCGTCAGACAACACAGAGAAGTGGTTCTTCATTCTAATCTGTCGCTGCTATTTTTAAGCATGTATTCTTTGTATTAGATAGTTTTGTCTGTTTTCTCTCTGTCTCTGACGAGGCTTTAATAAAAGTGAAAAATGTTAGATTGATATATACTTCCTATTTGTTCTTTAACTTATCATATATATATATATATATATATATATATTGATGCTTGTTTCAAAAAAATTCCTATAAAAAAACTACTACTAAGACATAACACTATATTAATTGAACTATATACTTAGTTCATGACATATTAACTGAAAACACTTGTAAAAATAGAATACGTGGATTTACCACATCACAAGAAATGTTCAAATAAAATTCTCACTTAAAATTTTGAAAATCTTAGCGTTGCGTCTTTGCACGTTCCGATATTGTACACAACCGTCAATTATACCACATTCTCAAAAAAACCATCTTTCGGTCTACAAATAATTATTTCGTCTCCAAGTTTTAATTTTAAAAGGAAAAAAATATGCCTGAGGATGAATAAAGGATTATTCGAAAGTAGTTGCATTTAAAAAAAATATAAACTGGAAACAACAGACAACAGTTTTATGAATGAGGATCACATCATTCTATTATTATATTTGATTGATCTTTTTTTATTTCATTCCGTTCGTGTTTTGTAGGTGACTTCCTGTCATACAAAAAACACGAACGGAATGAAATAAAAAAGATCAATCAAATATAATAATAAGAAAGTCCATGTCTTGCAAAAGAAACTCAACAAACTCATTAATAATAGCAAATGGTCCAATGTCGGCAGAAAAGACTTAATAACAAATTTATCCACACTCCAACTATCGGATACACAACTAGAAGCACACACATATATATATATATATATATATATATATATATATATATATATATATATATATATATATGTATGTATGTATACATGAAAATTATATTAATTAATAAAGCGGAGGTTCTTGCCGGATAGGAGAGCGAAACTCTACAGTCCTTTGTGTCTCTGTCCGCAAAGATCCCTCACTGGCAAGGGAAGTCTCTCTTGAGTCTATTGATTGTTCTAACATGTGCTTCTGACTTTTACTATTAAATTCACTCAGTTATCTTTTCCTTATTTACTGGCCCCCTTCTTCCAATGACTGCTAGACAGAAATTATGACATTATAGATGTGACCTTCTCTATATACTTATCTTGAAATATCTTTGCGTTCGGCGACTTCAGTGTCCATCATGCCAAGTGGCTTCCCCACTCTAATGTCACTGACATCGCTGGCATTGAGTCTTTGAACTTCTCAGTTGCGCATTCTCTCATTCAAAGATTAAACCTCCCCACGTGTTTCCCTAGTAATTGGACACACGCTTCTGTATTTGATCTCTTTTTTTTACCTCCTCCCATATGATGAACAGGGTTTGTGAAGGTAAATCTAAGTATCATCTTATAACTTATATTCTTTTTTCTTTTGTAGGTGCCAAACATTTCACGCAGATGTTGTGGAAAGGAACCACGGAGATTGGGGTTGGAATTGCGAAAATGAAAAACAAAGATCAATATGTGGTTGTTATCCAGTACAGGCCACCCGGGAACAATAACATGCCCGGAGAATTTCAGAAACATGTCCCGCCTCCACAAACGACAGAACCCGGCGAGAAATACCCGGAATAAGAAAAAAAATTTACAAATAAATTTAAAAATAAATAAATAAATAAATAATGAAAATTAATTTAACTAAAATATTTTCCAATTTCTGGAAAATTCTTCATGTCATGAAAAGATTCCTGGGGAAAAAAAATAATATGAAAATAACATGCTAAATTTTCAAAAGTTTTATAACTGCTAATAATGTACTAAACAACTTCACTTTTGACAGCCACGAACTGGTTTTCCAAATTGAAAATATGAACTGATTAATTTAACATTGTCCGAGGTAGAATTTCGATATTATTCGACGAATTATTCGTGCTAACATCCTCACTTTTCAGCCGGTCAGCTCTCTGACCTTCCAAGTGTGGTTTGAATTTATGAGATGAACCGTTGTCCTTATTGAACGAATTATTGAAACTTGTATACTCTGTTTTACTATTTTAGCCGGTAGCTTTTCTAACCTTCTTAAACTGTACGTCATACCCGAAAATATTCATTTTCTTTTCTTTCTTTTTTAGTTTATATCTCCCGGGTGGGGTGGGGTGGGGATTTGCCACTTGATTTATCAAATAAGGTTACTTTCTAAAATGAAAAGCCGCTCGTATCCTTTTGGGAAAGAGACTGCTATGAACTATTGTTTAAGCTTAAAGACAAAATAAATTTAGTTACACAACCCGTAAAGCTAACTCAATATGAATTCCTTTTAAGTTATCATGCAACTAGTAACTTGATTATTAAATTATTATTCTAGCTGATTTTAGAATTGTTGTCAGCTGGATGATTTCAATTCTCCTTCCGATTTCCAAAACATTTTATTTTAGTTTTGATGATTGTCTCAAGTGCGTCATTTCTGCCGATATCATATTTCTATTATTTTATTTTATTTTTTTACTCCTCGGAAAACGTCCAGATGATTTTCTTCTGCTCCCATGTCAACGTCCAATTTCTGATGGATTTTTTTTTCTTACTGTATTTACATTGAACGCTTTTTGTCTCGTAACCGCTGGAGAAGCGCATCGACGGCTCTTAGTATTATATATCGGAAAAATTCTTAGTCATATTTATCAGTAATTACGGAAATAAACGTCCAGGATGAAATAATATATGTTTATTTATTTGACTTTAATTGAAGCAAGTCCTTTGCAAATGAGTTTGGCGAAAATTTATTCAGCTAGGTAGTTGAGAGTTGACGTGTTTAGTAGCAATGGGGGGGGCGTAGTTACTTTGGAAACTTGTTGCGGACGTCAGTCTGCTGTGTTTTCTCGGCCCTCAAAATGGCGGAAAAATGTCTTAAGCAGGTGACCGCTTAGTTTTTTCACGCGACACGCTTAGATGGTTTCTCCGACTGTCCCTTCTCTTGCTGCTGCCTGTTGCCTGACTCTATATACACTTAAGAAAGGATCCGGAGTACATAGCGCGAAACTTATTTCGGCTCAAATCAAAGCTCTTTGTTTTTTGATTGGCCAACATTTTTTATTTATTTTCCGGCATTCCTTTTTTTTTTTTTTTTTTTTTTTGCAGCGTAAGTTATGCGCGGTGACTCTCATTTTGGTAGATTTCTAGTCACAATAACTAAACCCAGGACCCAAAAACTTCCGTTTTGCAATCGTTGTTAGGCTTTTCTTCTTCCCCTTTTTTTATTTTATGGATTCCTTCTCATTAGTTGAGAGAGAGAGAGAGAGAGAGAGAGAGAGATTTAAAGGATTTAATTTATTTGTTTTTTTATATTTTTTATTATTTTTTTTTGACATTTGGTCACACCACACACCTGAATGATAGTTCCATTTGGATTTGGAAATCCCAAAGTATTTATGTTTTCCAATTTTATAGAACAATGTCTTATTTGTACTTACGCATTAGTCTGCATGGTCACATCTCATTCATTTGCACAATTCCCAATAGAACACTGCTCCTCTCCAGTCATGTTTATAATATAGTTAGTGTTGTTAGCAATCCATAAAAAGGATAATTGAGAGAGCAGTAGTTATTGAGAACCTAGAGGTGTTTAGCAAAGAAAAAATATTCTGTAAATATTTCGAGGTTCGTTTGACACCATTATAAACACTAGTTAAATGATAATGCCAGTAAACAATACTATTTCGACAGAAAATAATAATTTTAGATTAAATTTGAATGATTAACAATTATTTTTTGAAATTTACATTCATTTAATTTTCCTCCCCCCAAATTATGAAATGAAATTTCAATAGGCTTTAAAAATACGAAAAAAATTGTTCGTCTATTAATAATCTACCTTTTAAATATAAATATTTACTGAATTCATTTATGTGCTTTCAGTTTGGGTATGTGGAAATGGTAGATGTGAAAAATATGGTTTTCAAATGCCGTTGTTGTCCATAGACTTGGTACTAATTTGAACTGGTGGACAACTATTTCGAACATCAGCCAATATTTCACGTCAAGAAAATAAGTAGGGTTACAATTAATTCATCCATAAAGTACTCACTTGACAGACAGATGATTACATTTTTTGCATGACTTTGTGTGACTGGCTTGATAAAAAAAAAATTACTTTAAATTTTCTTGTCATTGAATGAAAACATTTGAAATTAGATATAAAAATATACTTCTGAATAAAAGAAATAAATCGACTTTCAGTTTCAAATAAATAAAACACATTTGTTTGTTTGTTGTTGTTTTTTTTTGTTTTTGTTTTTTTAATCTTTTTCTACTGCTCGGAGAAATTGTTGTTCCAAGAAATAATTGTATCCAAAATTTGCTGGATGTTTTATAGCGTTTTTCAAGAAAATTTAATGGCTAGAATTTTATTTTTTGTGTCCATGAAAAGAATATTTGAACGGATTTTTATATAGTACAACCCCAAAATATTATAGCCAATTACTTACATGCATATGAGTGTATAGACCATTGCCAATTATCAACCCTAGGTGAGAACCGTGACCCTGGCGTCTCACCAGCAACCATGCTGTCTCCTTCTTTGGAAATACCTCTCAGGGGTCAAGAGGCAGAGGAAGAAGTACTGCAACGCCACGCCATCGAGTATTCCTGTCCCGCATTGAACTTATCAGTCACAAACGTGCCTGCAAGCGACGTGTACAAACTCCCTCTTGATCTTCATTTTGCGAAGCGAAGCCATGATGATGTAAGTGTGTTGGGGATTAGTGAATGTATTTGTTTAAATCAGAAAGAATTTTTATGTGGTGTGTTCGTTAACATTCATCCACAACAAATAATAAACGAATATTTAGAACAGGTCATGCAAAGCAGAGTTAAAAGCAAAGACAAGTAAAATACACAATATGGTAACTTATATACAATTTAAATATATACAAATGAGTTATGAATTGGTGGTTTGTTGTTTATTGATGTAATAAGACATGTAGTTTGTTGTTGAGTATGTTTGAATGCTTAAATCAGTGTTTTGATGATTTGTTGTAAGAATTAAACAGTTTGCTGTTCAACGTACAAAAGCGTTCGATTTTACAGTTCAAATGTTAGTGTGTGTATACGAGTGTTATGTAAAATATTCTTAAGTTGTACGAAGTTGCGTACCTTGAACTGTTAATTGTAAAAAGTTTTGTTTGTTACTGTTACTAATATGTAGTGAATATATATTTCACTTTCTCAAGTAAAGTAAATGAATTTTTGAGAAGTTTGTTTAAAAGTGAGATAGAGTATGTCAAAAGGTTGTTGAGTCAGTTGTTAATTCGCGCGGGAAAGTCAAAGTTTAAAATCAAAATGACGGTGTCAGCGTATTTTCCATGTATGAATGACACTGGCGATAGCTGTATCATTTAACTACGCTCACACCCTCAGCAAAATCAGTGAAAATATCTTAAATTAATTTAAATATTTTATTCACGAGTATTCTGGAAAAAATTACCAGATTAGGGCTATTGTTGCAAGACTGTATTATGAAATTAAACTTAATTAATCGTCAAATTTGAAAGATTACTTTCTTTTAATCAATATTTCATGCTGATTTACGAATCATTTTATCTAAATCACAGCACATTTCTATATAATGGCAATTCACTGAAATCATAGCAACAGAAATTAGCCTCGTGTCAACGGAGATAAAAGCATACTTGACAGGAAATAAAACGTATACAAATAACAGAAAAAAAACATCGTAAATTGCATGTTAATTTCAAACTATTTATTTTTGTGTGTATTGGTGCGTGAATTTTTAGCTTAGAGTTGTTTTAATTTTTTAATTTAATTTATTTTATACAACTCTTTATGTTATTGTTTTATTCTATTTATGTATAATTTTTATTGTTATTTTATATTTTATTTACATTTATTTATGATGATAATAATATTCACACAAATCACATCAAAACCAAATAAGCGGAGCTAATCGGTAGTACATAATGCCTATTTAAAATAAAATATTCATTGTTTTTTGTTGTTGTTTTTTGTTTGTCTTTTTTTGTTGTTGTTGTTGCTGTGTTTTTTTTTATGACGTTTCTCTCGGGGCGAGTAGTGATTGTATTCGTTGAGGAGGTTGTTTTGAAGAATGTTCAGCAGTTTGTTTCGATATGTTCAGGGGGGGTAATTTTATTTTTGTTTCTTGCTATTGTTTTGTCGTGTCAATTTTTTTAATCTCGAAATAACGACTGTGAGGTGTTTTTTTTTTTTTATTAATTTCATTTTTTTCGTTGATTTTAATAAGTAAATGATTACAGTTCACTTAATAACAAAAGAAAATGTAATAAAAAAAAGAATCATACTTTTTTTTTAACTGTTAGAAACACATAAAGACAAAGTACAAATGGTAGATCTTGATTTTAGTTGTGCAATGACATATTCGTGAACTTTGGGGATAAATAAACCACAAACATAACAAAATATACCTGGGCTCTTCTTGCAATGATTTGAAACCTTGAATAGTGTTTGTTGATTGTGATGAATATGATGATTATGAGGATGATGATGGTGATGATGATGAGACACCGGACAGCTGAACCGGTGCGTACCACTCCCAAAACACCCAACAGGGAGTGAAGCCTAGTTGGGCGCCCTGGGCAGTTCTTTGTGGCCCTTGCTATCATATCAATATTTGTTTTTTTTTCTTTCTTCATTTATATACGTCACTAATTAAACTAAGCCCAACTGACTATTAAAGGAAGATACATTTGAATTTTGAGGTCTTTTTTTTTTTCATCCGTGAATTTTAATTTAATTTTATTTTATTATTTTAAAACGGCAGTCGTCTACCTTGATCTTTGATCTAAAAGTTTGTCTCAGAAAGATACAACTAGAAATCTTGGCAACACAACTTCCATGTACCCACTCGATGAAAATAGCACTTAAAATATTATAACAGAATTTCGGAATAGAGATCGCGTTGTTCTTTTTTTTTTTTGGACATTAAAAAACTTGCTATTGAAAGATGAAAAAAAGACCACCTCAAGCAAAATACATTAAATAAAAAAATGTATATTATTTTTATATTTAAATTTTCAGCAACTATTTTTAATGATAATTTTAATAATAATTATCTAATAATATTTTTGTTATTATGATATATAAGTTATACTGCATTTTTATAAATAGACTACAGTATTTATTCATTTACTTTTGAATTATGATAGCTTAGATACATTATTTATTTTTGAACTCGGATTCATTTATAGCGGCACGGGGCTTCGGGGTTAAAATGAACAGTTAGTTTGAATTTAGAGAAATTCGGTAATTTTGACGCGGTAGAAAAATTCGTTAAGTATGAAATAAAAGTCGATTAAAAAATTGATTTTAGGGCCGTTCTGGAGTAGGGGTCCCCTTCTCCTATATTTTTAAATAACTGAAAATCGAGTGGGGTGGGTCCAGATAAAATCGCACTAAAAATTACCAACGCCATACTTGCAGAAGCGTGGGACTTAGGTGGCTAGGCTTCCTTCCCTAGCATTTTTTGAAAAGTACTATTAAATATGGGGATCTAGATAAAGGCCCACTACAACAATACCAGGGCTGTACTTTCTAACACGTTCCCAGACGTTTTGATAAATATTAACTAGAAAAACATGGGTTCCAGTCCAAACCCCACTACAACTATAGCAAGGCCATACTTTCTGGTTTGGTGGTTTATAGGTTTAAGTGGTGCTAACCACTCCCCCTTCCAATATTTTTAAATAAATAATTTTAAATAACTATTTATTTAATTACTATACGCCATTGTTTTGAAGGAAATAAAATCGATTTAAGTTCTTGTATCTTCTTTTCAAATTATTATTTTAATTAAAAAAAAAGTGGCAAATAAATTAAGTTTAAGATAGTTATTCCTTTTTAAAGAAGCAAAATCTATATAAGCCTTATTTGTATTTCAAAAATATAGGTGAAGGGGCTTTGCCCACAAATCCCCACTCAATAACGGCCAAAAAAAATATATATATTTTCAATCGACTATTATTTCATAGTTAACCTATTTTCCTATCTTAGCAAAACTACCGAATCACCCATTACAGAATCTCCCATTACCGAATCCCCTATTACCGAATAACGCATTACCGAATCCCATATTACCGAATCACCGATTACCGAATCCCACATTACCGAATCACACATTAACGAATCACACATTACCGAATCACACATTACTGATTCCCTATTAAAGAATCACCCATTACCGAATCTCCCGTTAACGAATCACCCATTACCAAATCTCCCGTTAACGAATATCCCATTACCAAATCTCCCATTACCGAATCACCCATTACCGAATACCACATTACCGAATCCCCAATTACCGAATCTCCCATTACCGAATCTCCCATTACCGAATCCAACAATACCGAATCCCCCATTACCGAATCCCCCATTACCAAATCCCGCACTACCGAATCCCATATTACCGAACATCCCATTACCGAATCCCACATTAACGAATCACCCATTACCGAATCTCCCATTACGAATACCACATTACCGAATCTCCCCATTCCCGAATCCCCCATTACCGAATCTCCCATTACCGAATCCCACATTAACGAATCACTCATTACCGAATCACCCATAACCGAATGACACATTACCGACACACCCATTACCGAATCACCCATTAGCGAACCCCCCTTTACCGAATCACCCATTAACGAATCCCCCATTACCGAATCACAGATTACCGATTCCCTATTAGAGAATAACCCATTACCGAATCTCCCGTTACCGAATACCACATTACCAAATCTCTCATTACCGAATCACCCATTACAGAATACCACATTACCGAATCCCCCATTACCGAATCTCCCATTACCGAATCCCCCTTTACCGAATCTCCCATTACCGAATCCCACATTTCCGAATCCCCCATTACCAAATCACCCATTACCGAATCTCCCATTACCGAATCCCCCATTACCGAATCCCCCATTACCGAATCACCCATTACCGAATCTCCCATTACCGAATCACCCATTACCGAATCTCCCATTCCCGAATCCCACATTACAGAAGCTCCCTTTCCCGAATCCCACAATACCGAATCTTCCATCACCGAATCCCCCATTACTGAATCCCAAATTACCGAATCCCACATTACCGAATCCCCTATTACCGAATCCCGCATGGCCGAATCCCGCATGGCCGAATCACACATTACCGAATCTCCCATTACCGAATCTCCCATTATCGAATCCCGCATGGCCGAATCACACATTACCAAATCTCCCATTACCGAATTCCACATTTCCGAATCCCACATTACCAAATCTCCCATTACCGAATCACACATTACCGAATCACCCATTACTGAATCATCCATTAACGAATCCCCTATTACCGAATCACCCATTACAGAATTCCCCATTACCGAATTCCCCATTACCGAATCTCCCATTACCGAAGCCCACATTACCGAAGCCCATATTACCGAATCTCACATTACCGAAAAAAACATTACCAAATCTCCCATTACTGAAACCAACATTACCGAATCTCCCATTACCGAATCTCCCATTACCGAATCCCGCATAACCGAATCTCCCATTACCGAATCCCCCATTACCGAATCTCCCATTACCGAATCCACCAATTCCCGAATCCCTCATTACCAAATCTTCCATTACCGAATCTCCCGTTACCGAATCACCCATTACCGAATCTCACATTACCGAATCCAACATTACCGAATCCCCCATTGCCGAATCCCCCATTACCGAATCCCACATTACCGAATCCAACATTACCGAATACCCCATTACCGAATCCAACATTACCGAATCCCACATTACCGAATCCAACATTACCGAATCTCCCATTACCGAATACCCCATTACCGAATCCAACATTACCGAATAGCCCATTACCGAATCCAACATTACCGAATCCCACATTACCGAATCTCCCATTACCGAATCCCCCATTACCGAATCCCACAGTACGAATCCCACATTACCGAATCCAACATTACCGAATCCAACATTACCGAATCACCCATTACCGAATCTCCCATTTCCGAATCCCCCATTGCCGAATCCCCCATTGCCGAATCCCCCATTGCCGAATCCCCCATTACCGAATCCAACATTACCGAATCCAACATTACCGAATCTCCCATTACCTAATTCCACATTACCAAATCACCCTTTACTGAATCTTCCATTACCGAATCCCCCATTACCGAATCCAACATTACCGAATCCAACATTACCGAATCACCCATTACCGAATCTCCCGTTACTGAATTCCCCATTACCGAATTCCGCATTACCGAATCTCCTATTACTAAATCACCCATTACCGAATCCTCATTACCGAATCCTCATTACCGAATTCCCCATTACCGAATTCCACATTTCCGAATTCCACATTTCCGAATTCCACATAACCAAATGTCCCATTACCGAATCCCACATTACCGAATCCCACATTACCGAATCTCCCATTACCGAATCCCACATTACCGGATCCCACATTACCGAATCTCCCATTACCGAATCCCACATTACCGGATCACCCATTACCGAATCTCCCATTACCGAATCACCCATTACCGAATCACCCATTACCGAATCACCCGTTACCGAATCTCCCGTTACCGACTCTCCCATTACGGTATCACCCATTACCAAATACCACATTACCGAATCTCCCATTACCGAATCCCCATTACTGAATCCCCGTTACCGAATCTCCATTACCGAATCTCCCATTACCGAATCCCTCATTACCGAATCCCACATCACTGAATCCCCATTACCGAATCTCCCATTACCGGATCCCACATTACCGAATCTCCCATTACCGAATCCCACATTTCCGGATCACCCATTACCGAATCTCCCATTACCGAATCCCCTATTACTGAATCACCCATTACCGAATCACCCATTACCGAATCACCCGTTACCGAATCTCCCGTTACCGACTCTCCCATTACGGTATCACCCATTACCAAATACCACATTACCGAATCTCCCATTACCGAATCCCCCATTACTGAATCCCCCATTACCGAATCTCCCATTACCGAATCTCCCATTACCGAATCCCTCATTACCGAATCCCACATCACTGAATCCCCCATTACCGAATCTCCCATTACCGAATACTCCATTACCGAATACCCCATTACCGAATCCCACATTACCACATCAACCATTACCGAATCCCCCATAATGAATCTCCCATTACCGAATCCCCCATTACCGAATCCCCCATTACCGAATCCCACCTTACCGAATCCCACATTACCGAATCCTATATTACCGAATCTCCCATTACCGAATCCCCCATTACCGAATCTCCCATTACCGAACCCCCCATTACCGAATCTCCCATTACCGAATCCCACATTACCGAATATTTGAACGCTGGTCGCGAGGAAATGAAACGTGATTTCGCACACTCTTTTCTGATTAATGTAATTTTTCTCGTCAGGTTATATCAAAAATAATTTCGCATTGGTTTGCTACTTTCTTTTTCTTGTCTCAACGCCTAATTTCTGTGAAGACAAGGTTTTCATTGGTCCAAAAGCAATTTCACACTCACAGGCTCACGAAATTCTTTTCGTCTTTTTCCTCAGCTCACCCGTATTTGATGGTAGTGTGTAAAGGGTGTTATTATTATTTCATACCCATTACACATTAAACAAACGTTTTGGAACCCTTTTATTTTATTATTTTATTTATTTATTTTTTTGCGTCATCCGGGTAATCAACATTTAGTATTGAAAAATTTAGCGTCTTTTTTGCGATTCGGAAATTCTGGTAAAAATCAAATAAATGTCAGATTTTAATGACACTTTCAGGACATATTCATAAATGAATGAAATTATTTCAGGAATTTTTATACTTTAGAAAATCTAGGTAAAAGATTTTTTTTACATCTGTTACACCCCACTTATTCAGTTTCATGGAATTTTGAGTAATTGATTTTTGCACCGATTCTATTATTGTGTTTTTCCATGTCACGTTAACGGAAAAAAAACACAATAATAGAATATTATGAAATGGACAAAGTCCGACAATTATATTAAGACATTTTTATGTTTAAACATTCTTTTTATAAATACAAATATTTAAGTAATTGCTCTGTTTATATAATAAACAGTATTAAACAGCATTTACCAACCTGAATGTCCGAGAAATTTTCACAGAAAATATTCATCCACCGACACAATTCGAACCTGCATACTATACGGATGCCGTCATTTAGCTTGACGCGTCTTTAACCGATTTGACCACAGAGAAGCGTTCGGTTAGTAAGGTCGAATTTACTGTATTTGAACTTCAATCTTCTATGAATCTCTCACGTACATTCATATCTGCTCATGGCGTATCAAATGTAAACAAATGATGTCACACATTATAAACAGAGCATTTACTCAAATATTTTTTCTTATTTGAATAAGCAAAATGTTCCCGAGAAATTATTTTATAAAAAACTCTCATTCTTTTTGTTCCATTGGGTTTCGGGTGGATAGATAAATTATATGGGATTTAGCCTCTGAAAAATTGCAGAAACAAAATGACGACAAGAGTTGTGATAAAATCAACAGTCAACAACTTTATTCAAACTACCGCTGGATCCATTTTACTCCCAGCATTTTTTAGTGGGACCGGAAGTGCCTACAATCATCAAAATGATCAACATTGATGTTGCTTTGTCATAATCCCTCTTGTAGATTTATAAATCTACCATTTGTCCGGGCATTGAATATTGCTGCCATCGATCTGACGTGGCTTCTCTCTGTCTTTTCTACAAATATCTTCATGGCATGTGTTCTGATGAGCTTTTTTCCTTAGTGTCTGGCTTTATTTTCTCACACTTCTTGCCTGTAGGACACCCTTCCGATTTCTTGCTTCCCTCCCACATACTATCTGCAAAAATTTAAATGCAACACCAATCGCCATCTTCTAAATTCTGTTCATTTATTGTCCTTTTTTTATCACACCTACTCAATGAAATTTTCATCATTCTTCTTCACTGTCTGTGACCCTTCCGTCCTAGCGGTACTTTTAATTTGCTTGCGGTGAAATTATTTAAAAAAATGTTATCTATGAAGGCTATATACATTGCAACTTAGAAGTATGAAAATGCAATCAAAGGGAAACAATTCCTATTATTGGAATTACGAGTTATCTCCCTTGTCAAATTTCAGCGTGTGTGTGAAACTGGATGCTGAAAATAAATTAAAAAACAGCAAAAGACATATACACTGATGGATTGTTCTTTATGTTCCGTACCTTCATTAGGACGTAGGCGATCATAGCTCGCCACAAGTTCCTGCCTCTTGCAGGTTTAGTAAATCTTTTCTTTCTGTTATTTCTCCTAAATCCCACATCCGCCATCCATTTATTTACTCAAGCTCACTAAGTATGCATCCTTTCTTCTTACTTTCCTTATTTGCTGAAAATTACTTCCAAAAAATTTGATCAAATGAACAAACGTCTGATAATTTTTTGAAGGAGTCTCTGGAGTGTGTTGATATCTTTTCAAAAGCTTTTTCAAACTCTGTTATAGGCACGCCGGTACATCGAGTGGTTATGCCAGGTTACAGAGAGAGTTAATGGTGCCTGTGTTTCTTTAAAGGATAGTTTGAGAGCTGTACCGAGAGAGATGTGACACTTTAGGTTTTGAAAGATAGATCGATAAACATACCGAGAGTCGATACCAGATTTTAGTAAATTCAGAAGGTTTTTTTTTTTTTCATTTGGGTAAAGGCAAGACAGAAACATTTGATTTGTTTTCTCTTTACAAAAAACATATAGCCGAAGTTGACAACTGACTATGAAATGGATCTGGTAAATACTGGATTGTCAACACGTCGAAAGAAAAATAAAGATATGAGGACCTTCTATGACTAAGTCAGGAGTGGAATCTAGCTGGGAGGAAAATGGTGTTATTATTATTTTAGGGACTCCAGTCGAAACAGCCATCTGGATATATAAACCCATGGGGAATGGAGAGAGGCGGTATAAAAACAGAAATGGGGACAGTATTTATATTTTTAAATCCAGTTTATGGAATTATCTTTTGGCTTTAACACAGTAAGAAAAAATCGGTTGAAAGATAAAATTTAAGATTTTCTGGAAACAGTGACAAAGTTGGAGAATTGTTTTTATTTATCACTTGTCAAAAAAAAAAAAGAAAATCGCTGAGGAGATGAAATTTCTTTAGATACAAGCCGAGATGCCACAAAAGGAGACTGTCAAGGAAGTGGCTGGTGAATATCTGATTGGGAAGTCGGAAGGGGTCGAAGAACTCCGTTGACAAAAATTTTGAATGTTAATTAAAATTAATAATTGGAGCTAAGCCAAGCCTGCTCTCCCATGCAGTCTAGAGATTGGTCGAAATGACAACCAAAGTGAAAATCCAAGTTAGAACACTAAGGGAGGTGAAGGAATTGCCCACACCTCTTGGGCAGTACTGTTATGAGGTACAAAAACAAGAAGGAAGTAGTTAAGGTGGATCGATATTCTGCTACCATTACTCCTCGGAGGAGCCTCTCCAAAATTAGGCATGCGTTTAATTTCCCATACTCAAAGAAAGTAAATTAGGGGAAATCACCGAAATCCCAAACCACGTCAGACCCCCATGCCAGTTTTGAACGAAGCTTTATATAAACAGAAAATCGAAGCGACAACAAGAGACACCAGGAGAGTTACGACCGCTTTACCGAACTCACGTGACTTCCTACCGCTGAAGAAGACCTCCGAATTTGAGATGTGTTCCAGAATCCTTGTATAGTCACGATGAACAAAGCGTCACGAAATATTCGAAGAAGGGAAAGGTCGAATAATTTTGCACGACAAATATATTCCTACATGAAGAACAGATATTGTACCATCAGCTTTGTACAAGAAACAGTATATAAAACATTTTCTTTATTACAATTTATCCTATGACATGTAGCTTCAAATTGTCTGGACCAGATCAATTCAACGATTCCTATGGACAATTTGATCTTCGCCAGCCTTGTTGTCTAAATCAAACACAATGTAGGACAAGGCAAGACTTGGATTGAAGTGATCAATTTAACGGTTAGCAACGTGGATCAAACATCGAACGGTCCGGCTAGGCGAACGTCTCAACGTCATAGTGCCATATAAAGCAATACTAC